TGTTGCAGGTGCAGCATGTAACAGCAAGGTTGGGCGACATACTGCTTGAGCGAGCGCTGTGACTCAGAACGATGCCTGGAAGGACGACGGAGTGCTGGGTGCTCAGCCTGGCTATGACGAGCAGCCCAGCTTGAGAAGGAGGAAGAAGGGGGCGAAGGAGGAGAGTGGCGAGGTACCTACCTGGCTATGGTGGACACCATCTTCATCACCTTGTTAGGCGCTGCATCTGGAAGGCCCCAGTTGGGGTAGTGCCGCACCAAGGAAGCTTCAAGGCAGAGTCAGGCATGGTGGCCTGAAGAGCAGCAACCATAGCTGCTTTGAGTTGTCTTTTGCGCAGGAGGGCAGAGCCCTTAGTAGTCCGCCATGGCCTTGGCATGTGAGAGGAAGGTGAAGAGGGAAGCCATGGCTATGGTGGACCTATTGTTGTGCTGGCAGTAAGAGGGAACTTCGGATATTGATTCTGGTTCAACCACTCATTGTTATTATTATTATTTGGGAGAAGAATAAGATTGGCGAAGACAAGGAGGAGGAGGGAGGTGGAGAGAGAAGGGGGATTTGTCATTGGTCTTGCTGGTCTTCTTCTTCTTCTTTGGTCTCTATCTCTTTGCAAGTGCTTTCATTTCTTTCGCAACTGGGTGGCATTGCCTTTCCTTGTGAATTTGCACTTCAGAATTGACCAGGATCGTAACAGAAATGAAGGTTGGTGGGCGCAGGGGAAAGTGCCTGGCACAGTTCACACACATAGAACTGTCGGTTGGTAAACTTCTGTATTTCTTTTTGCTTTAAGGGTTTGTCAAGTAGTTGCGGGGAGTTCAAACTCCAAACTCATTGGTTTGGATGTACAGGAATGCTGATGTCTTGTCCCCATGTTGCATGGCTGTTTAAAGGGAAAAAAGGGAAGGGCGGGAGGGAAAAAGAAAAAGAAGGGAAGGCGGTGGGAGTAAGGGGGGTGGGGAGGGGGGAGAGGAGGGGGAATGGAAGGGGGGGGGTCCTCCTTGTCCCCAGTGTCGGAAGAGATTTGGTAACTGGGCGAGCAAGTCACAGAATGCAAATGA